TGCTCCGGGGGTCGGGCTCAGGTACGTCGGCAGAGGCCTGGCTCCTGAAAGCAGGTGGCTCGGCCTTTTCCGAACACACGGTCTGCGGGGGGGCTGCCACTTGCTTCTGAAAGGCCTGGCCAGAACTGCCGTCACTCCCGGCCGTGACGGAAAAGGGCCTGCAGCCCGGCACACGCCTGGACGAGAGCGACCCCCGGCAAGCTGGGAACTGCCCCTTCCCACTGCCCCGGAGCCTCCCCCCTGCGCCTGCCCCGACTCCCCTGTGGTCCCCAGGCTCCTCCAGCCTGTCACCTGGCCCCAAACGGTCTTTCTGACCTTTGGTCAACGGCAAGTAACCCAGTCTCCCATTGGACATGACTTCCACACTCATTAGGAAGGCCCTACCAACTACACCGCATGTAATCTGGGCTTGTCTGCTTTCCCCTGCACTACACTGATTTCATAGGAGACAGCCGCGTTTCTCCAACGGGGGTCCTGACTCAAGGGAGCTGCAGGGGAGTAACAAGGTTATTTGGGGGGAGAGGGGTCACAGTGTTGCCACCCTTCCTTCTGCGCTGCCTTCAGAGCTGAGCAGCGGCTGCTGGCCAGGCACCCAGCTCTGAAGGCAGCGCCCGTCAGCAGCAGCACAGCAGTAAGTGACACAACACCAGACCCTGCCACCCTCAGTTCTGCACTGCTGTTGGCAGTGGCGCTGCCTTCAGAGCTGGGTGCCTGGCCAGCAGCTGCTGCTCTCCAGCTGCCCAGCTCTGCTGGTGGCACTGCTCTATGCCGCAGAGGGAAAGACAGTAGCACCGCAGCCCCCTCTACACTGACCTTGCAACCCCCCCAACTCCTTTTTTGGGTCAGGACCCTACAAGTAGAAGCCCAGGACATTTCCAATTTAAACAGACACAATCACAAGATTTACCATTTTAAAATCCTGGGACCATGAAACTGATCCAAATGGGCTGGGAACTGAGATGGGAAACAGGTCACACGCTCTGAAAGGTTTAACACATGAAACCGTTTCCCCCCCAGCTCCTCTGCAATGCGCCGAGTCGCCCAAAGGAGCGGGAGCTTGGTTCCCGTAACGTACATAGGGCCTGGGAGTCCTGACTCCAAAGCCTGCTTAGGAAAGGTCGGCCAAGGCAGCGGGGCAGGCGTCCCATGGCCAGTCCATTCATGCCTGGAGCCAAGGGTTTGCCTGTGACACGCAGGATGCGCCTCTGCCCGGCCCAGCCCCCAAGCAGCAGGGCTCAGTTAAGTGCCATTAGCATTAGTAGTGTAGAAGCTGTAGAACATGTGAAAACTTAAATTCTGCAAAGTATAGTTTTAGTATTGGCTATATTCTTTTGTGCCTATTTTTGTTTCTTGCTAATCAAATGCTGTATTTCTTGTATTCTGAAAAACAAGGAACAAACCCTTACTAAAGGGAATGTGGAAGTAATAATGTTAAAATATAAAAAGCAGAAAAAGGAACAAAAAATGTATATAAATACTTTAATGGAAATAAAAATGTAAAGTGGTTTCATGGTTAGCCTTTAAAAGGCTAAAAGAGGGGAGTTGTAGAAGCCATTTTATGTTTAGCTAGAAGCCATCTTTTATAGTAGAAACCATTTCAGCTTTTTGCCTTTGTACGTAGACCAGAGTGAACTTTCTATCACCCCATGCGCCAGGCCAAGACAGATGTGCTATTGGAATGTGTTAATTGGGCTGGTTCAGAGAGGAGAGGTACTACCTCGTACCTGTCTGCCATCTTGTTGATAAGGCTTTGTTTTTCCTAGTTTAATTGATTATTTCTGTAATTGGATGCCCTGACGTCAGACTGTTTGGCTAAGGGTATAAAGATACTAGGATTGATTGTATTAGGCAGCCTTACTGGGCCCGACTTTGCTGGGACCACGTTTGGCTCACTTTGCTTTACTGATCAATAAAGCCAATCAGTTGTTAGCCGCCTAAACAGAGAGGAGAGGAGCGTGTTTTTGCTCAACAGTAGGTTCTTACCAGCTGATTTAACTTGTCTGTCTCCGACAGCGCCTTTGCCTTCTCTCTCTGCAGTTCATCCACGTGTGTCCTGTTGGGAGGGGAGACGTCACTGCACAGCAAGGAACCCGCTCTGCAGGGGCCTGACCGGGTGCTGCGGGGCCCCACGGCAGTGCCGGGTTGGGTCAGAAGGGAGAACGGTGGTTCCCGTCAGGGCAGTCTTGCCTGCAGTAGCCCAGGGCTGCACTAGCGATTTCAGCCAAGCCTTTCGGACCCGGCCAGCGATCCAAGGTGCCCGGCTGGACACGTCTTAGGGAGACCTGATTGTCGGAGGGCGCCAAGCAGCTGCCCCCAGAGGCAGGGACTCGAGTGGACACCTGAGAGTCCAGGCTCACGCTTGGCTCAGCTGAGCTGGCAGCTGGCCAGGCCCTGCCCGCCGGGGTGTGACGTGGAGCCTGGTGGACTCAACGACCGAGCGGAGACAGCGATGGAACCGGGCGTGCCAAGCCGGAGGGGGAGTGGCGAGTCGCGGCCCAGGAGGGGAGGTTTCTGCACCGAATTCCCAGTGACCCATGGACTTCCGGGTCAGGTACATTCCGTCCCCTGCAGGGACCTCAGGCACACGCCTGCCAGCTGCCGAATGGCAGG